AAGCCACGATCCGAGCAGCCCTAGTAGCAGCCTTGCTTCCGAGAAGACTGTACATTCTTTCCGGCGGGCACACAATACTCCGACAGCATGCTTGCGGCTGATGTGGATTGCAGGAGGTGGATAACAGGACGATAAATGCACAAAAAATAGGTTGAGCACGACCAATACACGACACAGCACGCACAGAGAACGATTGTCGCCGCCATGTTGAAATAAAACCAAGCTGAGGCAGGCCAAGCTACTGTTTAGTACACAAGGAAGCTGAGACAGGCCAAGGTTCAGTTTAATACACAACCAACATAATTCATTACAAAGAATTAAATAGATGTTAAAACAATTTTTCTTTTGACGTTTAAAAGTTCTAATTTATGTCGACTAAAACAGGAACATTCACGTTGCGTCAAATGAGTTTCGTCGTAACCAGCGAACGTCGCAACATCTCCATCGCCACCCTAGCCAAAATCAAAAACAAAGCAAGCTGCAAACTTTCGGGTGGTTTCAGGCCTTTGGGCTTTCAAAAAAACATCGAAAAACGTTTCCGAAAAACAATAAGTGTCCCAGGTGCCGGCGTGCCCATGGATCCAGCTGTGGGTTTGAGTCTACTTGGTGAGTACTTGCCTACTCGTATGACTTTTTCAGTGCTTTCTTTTCGGAGCGTTTGTGAAGTGTCCTTGTGCGTGTGTGTGCAGGAAGCGTGAAGGCGAACGTGTGGGGCTCCTTGTCGCACACGTGCTTTGCGCATAGGTCTCCTGCGCTGAAGCTTTGAACAAACTGTAGCGCCCTCATTTTGGGTAGTACAAGCTCACCTGATTGAGCCTCGCACTACTTATGGCACGTTGATTGAGCTTTTTTAACTCTGTGTGGTGCTGAAGAACGAAAAAACACCTTTGGACGCCAGAAATGGGCCTGACTCAACGTTGCAAGACAATCGAAAATGCCAAATTCATGACACCACCGCTAGGGCACGCGTCTCTTATCTCTTGGTTGTGACGTCAGAACACCTGTGTCCCGACGCTTTCATTTCGTTTTCCTTTTCATGTCTACTCTGGAACGCGTGAAACTGCATCTCTTGGCTCGCTCTTAGCGTCTTAGCTTCGAAGGCGTTCGAATTTTTGTTGTTTCTTTATACTTTCATCGCGATCTCGCGCTCCGCACCAGAGCACGCACGCTTCTGCATGCGTGACAGTTTGAGACGCTAAACTTTGTACTACCCAAAACAAGTCCTAACAAGTCCCTTATCGCAGCACCCCCTGGGCAACGCAGGAGGCCTATGGGATGTCCTTCGAGCTTTTCCCAAGGAAGTCCCGGAACCAACCTGTCACTGAGCGAGCAGTCAGATTGCGGGAACGCATACAGAGGCGAAGGTCCCACCGAAGCCGGAAGGGGGGGGAGGGGGGGGGGGGGGGGGGGGGGGGGGGCTTTGTAAGTGTATCGGGAGCTTTATCTCGTGGATAGGTGGACAAGACGAGTTCTACAAATCGGGTGGCGCCTTGGTGCCACCTAACTAGGCGGTGTGTTTCGCGGAACCCATGACTGTTAATGGTACCCATTACGTGCTGGCGCTCGTATTTGCACCCCGTTTGCTTTCACTGCGGGTGTTCGAATTCAGGTTTGATTCTCTGCATTGATGATGTTGCTTGCGAAGAGTTCTTTTTTTATAGGGCACGGACGTTTTATACAAGATGCTGTATATGTTGCACCAGGGATTAGCAATATCTCCAATACAAGTATTTGAACTACGTATTTCAAATTCTTTGTGTATTTTGCATTTGTATTTAATTACAAATGGGGTAATGTATTTGACGTGTGTATTTCAATACTAAAATGTGAGTATTTCAAATACAATTTTGTGGGTGAAAATACATCCCTCAAATTTGCTGTCACTGTCCAGAGCAGGAAGAAAACTACGCTCTGCACCGAATGCAGTGTCTCTCAATCAAGCGCAAGCGTTTAGTGACTTTGTGATTACGGTGCTAGTCCTGGGCAAGAATAGAAACGAAATCGACGTTCACCGGCAGACTGGCTAACTAAGTACCTGTGACAACTTGTAATGCTTTCCAGCTTGATTTCCATCCATATTTTTGCCTGGATTATTCTAAAAGCGGGCGTCGTCCAGATTTTCGTAACTCGTGCGAGTTGCAACAGTAAAAAATTCTCTAGCTAGTGCTGCGCGCCTTGGTCGTCTCGATTCTTTGTTGGTCTATACCAAAATGTAATCGACAAAAAAAGCTGCTCGAAGCTCTGTACTTTTTTCACCTATTACGTCCAAGCTGATTACATTTTTTTTTGTGATTATATTTCTATTACGTTACTAAAGCCTCGCACACTAACTCCCGAGTGTGCGATGCAAAATTAAAATGAGATACCCAGAAACCCGTTGCAGGTGCCCTGAAGTCGCTGACGCAAATGTTGAGGAATGTATTCGGAAAAGTATTTGAAGGAGACCAAATACATTTTGTTGTATTTGTATCTTGTATTTAAATACTTTTTTTGGGAAATGTAATTAGATTTGTAATTAAATACATTTTTGACAAAGTATTTTGTATTTGTATTTCGATACATATTTGCATGTATTTTGTCCATCCCTGTGTTGCACTTACTTGCTAGCCCTCTGGCTGTAGTTTATTGTGAAGGTTGCGGGAAAAAACGCGCATTGAATAGTTAGATATATATATATATATATATATATATATATATATGTATATATATATATATATATATATATATATATATATATATATATATATATATATATATATATATATATATATATATATATAATATGTAGTGTCAAGTACCGTCCGACGGCACTCTTTCAAAACGTTCACGTGCCGTGCAATGGCACTCCACTCGCGTCTTCAAGTGCCGTCCGAATGTCTTATGTAAAGCGAATTGTCGAAACGAGTTTTTCGAAGTTGTAGCGTAGCTTATTGGAAATTGTAGCGTAGCTCGGCCTAGTAGGCAGCGGACCCTGGTTCGATCCACAGTGTGGGCTTACTTTTTTAAATCTTTTTCTCGAACACTTTGTTTCGTCGAGGCCACTTTTCGACTGTTTTTTTTTTAATTTGCACCGAACTTGAGCGCACTGAACGTAGTAACTTAAAGAAACTTTTCTTTTCTCAAATTTCGCTTTATTTTAAAAGTTATAGGCAATTTCGAATTACAAAAACAAGCAAAAAATAACCTCCGTCATGACGTCGTAGGTCCTGGCTTGAGTGGCCGCGAACTAGAGGAGGGGTAGTGAGCTCATCGAGCGCTCACGGCTGCCGCATTCTGTGTTGACGGCTCGAGAGGGCGCCACTAAAGCACGTGTTGGATAGGCTGTATGAAGCGGGCGGCCAGGGCGGCTTGCATTGCATTTGCTGCGCGATTAAGGACTAATTTGGCATAACACTTCATTGGCCACAAACTAAAGCAAACACGGGGTAAAGATCAGTTCAGAACGGGAGCCACTTTGCGCTGCCATACCGCCTAACGGCCAAATCGCCAGCCAAGCCCGCGCCGAAAGCCTTCGGAACGCTCGGAACCGGTCGGATCCTCGAACCGGTATACGACCGCAGCGCCGCCGCGTACATCCGGGACCTTCCTACGCGCGCTGTTCGTCGGAGCCTCATCCCACTAGCCTTTTCTAGTATGCGCCGTTTTTTCCGCCGCTTGGTGGCGGGTTTGTCGACGAGTCTTTTCTTGTTTCCTTACTTTATAAACTGCATTTGTTTCTTTTCTGATCTAAATTACCGAACAAAAATGAAAGCCGTTTACAACTCCCTGTAACGCCGAATTAGAGCGCAGCTCTTGAGGAGGAGGAGGGAAGGGTACTGAGGTTCACGTGTTTTCAGGGCGGGGGTCAAGTGACCTCGAGGGGGGGTGGTCACGTGACCTTGGTGGGCACATCCCCTCCCCAAGGTCACGTGGGGGTCACGTGACCTGGGGGTGTCACGTGACCTGGGGGTGTCACGTGACCTCAGGGGTCACGTGACCTCAGGGGTCACGTGACCCCCAGAAAAAATTTTCCGCTAGATTTAGCGGGGAAAATTTTTCCGCTAGATTTCGCGGGGAAATTTTTTCCGCTAGATTTAGCGGGGAAATTTTTTCCGCTAAATTTAGCGGGGAAATTTTTTCCGCTAGATTTAGCGGGGAATTTTTTCCGCTAAATTTAGCGGGGAAATTTTTTCCGCTAGATTTAGCGGGGAAATTTTTTCCGCTAGATTTAGCGGGGAAATTTTTCCGCTAAATTTAGCGGGGGAATTTCCACTATTTAGCGGGGAAATTTTTTCCGCTAAATTTAGCGGATAAATTTTTTCCGCTAGATGTAGCAGGGAAATTTTTTCCGCTAGATTTAGCGGGGAAATTTCCGCTAGATTAAGCGGGGATTTTTTCCGCTAAATTAATTCCGCTAGATTTAGCGGGGAAATTTTTTCCGCTACATTTAGCGGGGAAACTTTTTCCGCTAAATTTAGCGGGGAAATTTTTTCCGCTAGATTTAGCGGGTAAATTTTTCCGCTAGATTTAGCGAGGAAATTTTTTCCGCTAGATTTAGCGGGTAAATTTTTCCGCTAAATTTAGCGGAGAAGTTTTTCCGCTAGATTTAGCGGGGGAATTTTTCAGCTAAATTTAGCGGAGAAATTTTTCCGCTAGATTTAGCGGGGAAGTTTTTCCGCTAGATCTAGCGGGGAAATTTTTCCGCTAGATTTAGCGGGGAAGTTTTTCCGCTAGATCTAGCGGAGAAATTTTTCCGCTAAATTTAGCGGGGAAATTTTTTCGCTAGATTTAGCGGGAAAATTTACCCATAATGCACCGCGCGGTTACGCCGACGGCGACGCCGACGGCGACGCCAACGGCGACGCCAACGGCGACGCCGACGCCGCTCAAGCCGGGAACGGGCGCCTAATGGCCCGTTCACACTGGCGGTTGAGCAGCGTTTGCGAAGCGTTTGCGGATGCGGTTCGAAAGCGGCCCTGTTCACACTCGAAGGACGCGGTTGGCGGTTTCTCGGCGAACACGCATCCTTTCGGGGGGTTTACGAGACTTGCGAGTGGCAACCCTGTTTCACAATCCAGAATCCACTTGTGTTCCCAATTCAAATCCAAGAAGAAGCCTCCCGCAAAAACAAGCATGGAACACCCCGCGAGCGGCAGTGATGAGGACCTCAGCGACGAAGAGGCTGCTGGTGTAGCTCTAGTTGCAGTTGTTTTGGCGTCTCAGGGCAGGGATAAGCGCAAACGTCCCAGAAGATGGTGGGTCCGCCCTTGCTTCCATGAAAGAGACGAGAAGGGACAGGGAACGAGCCTCGTTCCCCTGTTGCGTTCGCGGGACGTGGAGTACTACCGCGAGTAAGTGATGTATCTATGTTCACATTACGTGTTCATAAAAAGAAAGCGTAGCAGATCGAGAATAAGTGTAACATTATTCCATCAGTTTCCTCAGGATGCCTCCCAGCGCGTTTGACACGATCCTGGACCTGGTCCGCGACCGGATCAAGAAAGAGGACACGAACCTCCGGAAGGCCATTCCTCCTGACGTGCGCCTCGCACTAACGATAAGGTAATTGCGAGAGAAATAGAGAGAATGATATTGATTGCCCGATGGTAGGAAATCTAGGTAATAACTCCAACAATAATCGCACGCGCGTAAGTGAGTACGGATTTTTGACGCAACAATTTAACATCCAAGAAATTATACTATAAAACTGAGCTGTTGACGCAAAAGTTCGACGTCCAAAAAACTAAGCTGTTGACACAAATGTTCGAAATTCAAAAACATCGCAAAACCAAGCGATAATGATACCATCAACTGTGCTTAAAATTGTGTACCAAATAGTGAGAGTCACGTAGAGGGTTTTGAAGAAACAATTTATAACAGCTCGTTCGGCTGCAGGCTTGACGCAGTTATCCAATTTTCTGAACAGCTATGAGATATTTGAATTCGGAAGAAGTTAAAAGTGCACTAGTGACAGAAGTGTCCCTCAGTGACTGAATTCTTGTCATACAATCAGTAATGCCAACCATATGATATGTAAAGTTCTTGAACCATTGCTTTCAACATTTCTCTGTTTTCTGACAAGATTTCTTGGTGCTGGGGAGACACTACGGAGCTCATCCTTCAACTTCCTGATCGGAAGGTCGACCTGCTGTGGAATTGTCTCCGAGGTGTGTACCGCCCTGTGGGAGGTGCTTGGGCCTCTTTACGTAGCCTGTCCGGAACAGCCAGAGGAGTGGAAAAAGGTATGCAATTTTTTACTCTAGCCTACTAAATGCCCCAAAATTATGCACTTGTAAGTAGCTTTACTCAATGTCTCTTTCGTACACGTGAGTACTTTGCAAAATTTTGTGCATTACGAAGGCAGTAAAATTAATTTTGTCATGCTAGAACAGCTGAAAATTTAGACCTTTATGTTCTGAAAAAATTTCCTAATTTCCTCAAAAGCTATGGAACAGTTCAACATAGTTCCCTGTAATTACAGAAAAGTGTGAGCTAATGTTCTGCCCCGGTCGCTACTATCACATTAAAAAAGTGGGCAAAGCTAATAAGATGATGGGTAAAAACATGATGGTAGGAATTAGAGGAGGCGGCATAGCAGCTCAAGCCGACTAAATGGGCAGCCTTGGAGTGAAGTCGGAAGTAGAGGTTGCAGTTCATGGACACACACATAAAAGTGTGTGTCCATGAACTGCCATCATGTTAACACCAGAAATCAAAGGCTATAATTGCCAATGATTTCTGGTGACATTGCATTGAAAAATGACGAACACGAAAATTGGGCAAAATTCTTGTAAGTATTCTAGTATGCTTCAACTCTCATGGGCTTTTGAGGAAACTAAGACACTACTGGGGATCTATTTTGCCACAGGTCGCTGCTGATTTTGAAGACAGATGGAATGTCCCAAACTGCATAGGAGCAATTGACGGCAAGCACGTTATCATTGAGTGCCCAAAGCTGTCTGGCAGCCTTAACCACAACTATAAAGGCTCCTTCAGCAAGTCACTGCTGGCCATTAGCGATGCAAGATACAGGCAAGTTTTGAGTCTTCTATTGCTAAAGCAGGTGATTTAAAGACAAATTGCCCAGTGAAGGGTACACAAGCAGCTTCAAGTGAAAGGTGGGAAGACTTACGTCAAAAAGGACACTTTGCGTGTACGGCTGTTTTCATCTGTTATTGGTAATACTTGACCTCCTTTGATGTTTGCTGAAACCATTCCCCATTATGGTGCAATTACAGCATACACACATACACATCTCTGTGCGTAAAACTTTATGCAGTCATGTTTATGAATGTAGGGTATGTTACCATGAAGTACAACTGTTGAACTCTTGTTGATTCCTGCCGATATTTTTCAAAACTGCTTTTAACATAAACATAATGTACTGAGGCTAGCTCGTAGCACTTCTTGTGATGCACCGCTTAGTAACGGAAGTGCATCACACAAAGATCCTATTATAAAAAGAACGCGTGGAAGTGCTCGGTCTCAAACCTCCATTCCGCCGGCATTGAAGCCAGTGTTGAAAGCTCCGTGGTGACAGTGCACATGAAGGAAGTGTGGCTGTGTAGAATATCTGTACAATACTTGTTCACAAATTGTGGTAGTGTGTTGAGGGGGCGAGGGGAGAGGACAATCACATGCTTGGAAGGAAACTCGGGAGACGCAAAGTACTATGGTCAGAGCTGATGTGTGCGACAGCGAGACGCTAGCTTCGGCTTGCACCCCCCACTCGAGGTTTAGCGAATTTCGACAGCCACCCAAGCTTTACAAGGCGCTTAAGGGAAATTTTAGTGAAGGCGCGACGGAAACTAGGCTCTGTAGCCCATGCTGCACACATTATGCCGCCAAGAGCATTGATACTACCTCGTCTAGAGTTTTGCTCACCTGAGTGGAGTTCCCACCAGGAATCCCTTCAACAAGCCCTGAAGGGTGTGCAGCACAGGGGTGCTCATACACTATACAGGCAGCTGCCTCAAATAATACATTCTGTGTTAATAGTACCTTTTAATTTCAGGTTTCTCTATGTTGAAATAGGACACCATGGCAGTGAGAGCGACGGGGGAATTTTCGCCCGCAGCCAGCTTCAGCGGCGCATTAATTGTGGGGAGCAGGGGCTGCCTCCTCCAGCGGCAGTTGGAGAGGAAGGGGACCTGCCATACTTCTTGCTTGGGGATGAGGCCTTTCCCCTAAAACCCTACCTCATGAGGCCATACCCGAGGAAAAGTAAGTAATGTGTTGCTTTGTTTCATGTCTAACTTGGTCTATGTCTTGCAAGGATTCGAAATGCATTACGGATGAAGACACATTTAATTGCGGATCAACATAAATTGTTTGAGAACCTGCTAACCCCTGAACGTAACCTAAATTTGTAAAAAAAAAATGTTGGACACTCATGCTGCTGAGAGTTGATGCTAACGACAGCTGATTTCGGTCGCCATTATAGCCAGCTCATTAATAACCTCATGAGGTTTGTTGGCTCATATCATATGCTACACCTTCCCCCAAGGATTATAACGGCAGCGGTATATCAGATGTAGGCATGGTAGGGATCAATTGAACTTGTTTCGGCCATGAGTGCATAGCACTCTTCTTTATGTCGGTGAGGCGATGGACAGATGTCAACTAAATTATTACTGTTGACTGATGTCTGTAATGTTACTGGGCACTATTTGCTAGCATGACCCAAAAGCTCCAGAAATGTACGCCCGTTTGTTTCTTCTGACCGAGACCAGGTTATAGGAGCACCCCGTCATACACATCAAACGTTTCCTTTGTGTTGTTCTCGTGATTCTTGTCTGCCTGACAGGTAAGACTTGTGGAAGTGAGGCTTGTGGACGTTATTTGTGGTCTGTAAAGGGTGACACCACAGAGACTTATAATTAATAGGCAATAGGTTAAGAAATTGGTTATTATTTTGCAGGCCTCATCCCAACAGCTGAGGAAAGACAGCAGTCTGCAGCTCGCCCTTCGACCAGCGCTCCCCAAGCTGGTGACCCAGTAGACGAGCAACTGCCGGACGACGACGCTGGAGACCTATCCGACAATGATGAAGCCAACAGAAAGGAGCTGCGGCGTCGGCGCAAGATTTTTAACTATCGCCTCAGTCGTGGCCGGAGAGTAGTAGAAAACGCCTTCGGCATCCTTGCCCAAAAATGGCGCATCTTGAGAAGACCCTTCCGAGCCAACGAAGAAAATACAGACAAGATTGTTGCGGGATGCGTTGTGCTCCACAACTTCCTTTTAAAGGATTCGGAGGTATCAGCCACATCGTACTGCCCTCCCGGCACAGCTGACCATGAAGACTGGGAAGGACGGAGCGTCAGTGGCAGTTGGAGGGGCGATACTGACAATGAGAATGCCACACTTCAAGCCCTCCCCAGAACTGGCTACAATTCAACCAGGCATGTTCCATTTTCCTCACTGTGTTGCTTTATCCGTGCTAAAGTCAATCTCGGGCTAGTATACGCAGCAAATGTAGGACTTGAGACTCTGTCCACAATTCCCACAAGAAGTACCATCTCTAATAATTAAAAGTGTGCAAATAGTGTTTTTTGTAACTGAATCGAATAGTGATGAAACCGAACCAAATCGAGAAGTTTTATAATTGCAAGTCTATGACATTCTAAACATTAGCTCAAAGCCCCACTTCCAGTGCAAACTTTTTTATCTTTGATAGCAAAAGCATGCACGCACAGCTAAATCGCAACGGAAGCCACAGAGTGTGTGCTGGAGGCGATGCTTCTACTGCACTCTTAACCTTGCACTGTCTACAATGTGGCTGTTCTATTTACAGGGAAGCCTACAGGGTGCGGGCAAAGCTCACCCACCACTTCGTGAACGGAGGAGCAGTCCCCTGGCAGGACACCATGGTCATGGGACCTAGTGGAAACTAATGAAAAGAACTGCTGTTACAAGTGATTTATTTGTTGTTCAGGACTCCGCCTCTTGCCTACTGATGGCTTCCATTTGCGCTGCAAAAACAACATTTTCTATTTGGTGCATTGCCTGCAACTGGCTACGCTCATCGAGCGTTCTCAATCGACCAGCGATCGACATGCTAAAATGGTGAACAGCGTCCTGGCAGTTCTCGGCCCTCCTGGTACGCCTCTCCTGAATGCTCTGCAGTAGGCCAACACAGGCACCGATGGCGTCCTGTGTACCAGAGCCGCTCTCTTCTGGCCTGGTATAACAAATTTGTGTGAAACAAGCTCAGAATAAGTACTTTATAGATTGCTTACCTTGACTTGCTGGCAGGTGATTGACGTGCCCGCTGTTGTTCATTTTGCCTGCATTTGTACATACAGGTTTTATTTTCTGCATGTCTTTAGGGCATCAGTGTAGCCTGGTCACGTGTGACATTCATTGTAAATTTAAATGATATCCTTGAGGATGAATGCTAATTTTTTATATCAACAATCAAACTGTGATAGAGGAAACCTTACATTGGGCTGCCGCCTGTCATGCCCGATGCTCTCCGTTCTTCGGGCCTGCAAAGAAGGGGATTTTGATGAAGCTATGTTTTAATATGTGGGGCTTTAATAAAAAAAAGTGTCATCATGAACTCACGGCTCGCACTGGTTGTCATTTTGCTCATCAGCCCTGTAGATAAAGCAAGAATTGCGTCCACCTAAATATATCAATCTTCACCACAATACTGGAACAACCGATACCAACCTTCTTTCCTCCAGGTGACCACTGCCATCGCTGGTGCTGCTGGTGGTACTGCTGGTGGTACCGCTGGTGCCACTGCTGGTGCCACTGGTGCCACTGCTGGTGCCACTGCTGGTGCCACCGTTGTTTAAGTATCGTCGTGGTGAATTGATGTGACAGCAAACAAATGTAGAAAGAACAAGTTACGTATATTTTTAACATTGTTTAATCAACTAAAACCTACCTCATCTCACCATAAAAATCCAAGTTTGTGTGGAGGCTGAAATGACATGCGGGTGATTTAGTGCCTTTGTGTCACAAAGTTCCACATATTTTTAAAGAGGTACGAGTACATACCTTGGAGTGGGCGACACTGGTTCCATTATCTCCATCATTTGGATGTAGTGGGGCCAAGTTATTTTGATAACTTCCCCTGCCCCAGCACCACTCTTCATGCTGTCAGATATTTTATTTTTTTGCTTTTGATATGAATCCTTGGCATTCTTAAATTTGTTTGCCAAGACGCTTCCTGAAAAAAAATGAAACCGTGATGCACTAACTTTAGACACCAAAACACATCTATGCATTGTAAGAATTGCGGCTCAAACACTGACGCTGCTTACAAAGTGCTGAATGATGGTTACTGAAGCGCTGGTCTATGAATATGCTCGTTCGGAGGAGGTGCCATCTATACTCCGTTCGCGTGCCCCGAGGTTTCAACAGCGCTACCGTTGCACGAGCGCTCGTGCACCGGGGACTCCTTCCAAAGTCGCGTGCGCGTTACCAACAGATGCTCGCTTGCGCGATAGCCCTCGGTCAGCTGAGTCTTGGCATAGCACATCACACCGAAATTGGTAGTTTTCCTAACTCGCAGCTGAAGAGTGTTTGAGCGCTTTGGAGGACACTAGAATCCGAGCCAAATAACAATATTCGTTCCCGATAACAAAAAAAGTACATGCCTTCGACACCGCCGAGATCCACGCCGAGGTTGCCCCAAAGCTCGTCCTTGTAAGCGTTGTCTTTGTACTTCGGATGTCGTTTGTCATAAAGGCAGGGGTACTGTTTTACAAGGTCCAATAGGACCTCCGTCTTCACCGCATGTTTTTTCTTTTTCGCCGACTCCGCTGCACCGGTGCTTCGAACGGTCGCCATCTTGGGACTGTGCAGTCTGCTAGCGTGACGTCAACCAAACGTCACGGCAGCATCGAGTTCCTATTGGCCCACTTTCGGGAACCGCTCCGCGGTCGCCGAAAGCGGTTCTGAAAATTCGGTCTCGGACCGATCCTGAAAACGCGCCCCAACCGCGCCGCCCCAGCCGCTTTTGCGGCTGGAAATGACCCGAACCGCCTCGCGTTTGCGGATCCGCCTCCAGTGTGAACCGGCCATAAGAGCTGCGCTCTAAAACTACTTTCATACATAATTGAAACGGTTCGCAACACTTATATTTTGTATTTCGACTAAAAGGAAGCTTTTAGCGGCTCTGACCAGTGGTAAGCCCAGGACCAAAGACGTCACATATTGCGCGCTTTCGGCAACGCGGGTCGCCCTCGTAGGTGGAGGAGGTTTCCACGTCGTCCGGTTAAAATATGACTCACTGATATTTAGTTCTCTCTCCGTGCCCGCTGGCTTGCCCGAACCCCAAGAGACGTGGAAACCGCAAAGAAGGTAGGCACTTAAATATGGTTGCGGGGCCCCTTTAACAAAATGGTATGGGCGTCCCCTTCCGGAGGTGCATGGGGGACAGCGGGGCTTGGTATAAGACAGAGGGGCTGGACGCTGCGAGGCGTCATATGCAACGGGCCCAAGTAGGTTAATAGTTTTGTAATTAGCAGCCGCATACTGTTGCCGCGAGGCGGCATGAATGTATGCGGGGGGTTGGTTAACGATCTCCCCAGGGATACGTGTGCTGTTCGACCCTCTTCCGGACGGCACTTGTAGGCACGGGTGGAGTGCCGTCGGACGGCACTGTAGACAACCAAAAAACAAAAGAAAACGAGGTGTTTCGAACAACGTTCTTGAAGAGATCGTGAACTGTATTTTCAGCTACTTCCTCCTCAGCTTTTCTCCTCAGTATATAAGCAAAGTGAGAAGTCATGTGGTCGTATTTCACTGAAGCCCAAAGTTCTGCCAGCAGTCTGACAGCCGGCATGGACAAAGCCCTACATAAATTTCACACTTCACATTTTTGCAAGCGCTGACAACCATGAAGGGAGCGACGAGACAAGCGATGGCGACCCTTTTTGCTATCGCTCAGCCGCACGACGAGGCACACTGCATGAAAGCGACAGAAGCAAGCGACCAATGCGATGAGCGACGTTTTCTAGTAATTCAAGAACCGAGCAGCGTTACAAGCGACAGTGAGAAATCTCCGTCGCTGTTGCCGATGCTCGTCTCGTTGCTCACTAAATCGCTTACATGCGGTCCAGCCTTAATTGTCTGAAAGCTAGAGACACGTGCCACGAGTGGAGTGCCGTGCTGCCACTCACTTCCAAGTGCCTCTCATTTCAGGGCTACACTGCCATTTGCTTCAAAGCCCTGCACGGGCCACCTGCTCAGGCGCTTTGATGACACTTACGAAACCAGCACAAACTCGTCAAGGGGTTTTAGGTGGGGTTAGCCATCCAGTGTGTTTGCCGCACCATTCTTTTCGGTGCCTCGACAGCCCACAGTCCCTTCACAGCAACAAATTGGGACGCCATGACGACAGCGGCACTTGTGCCTGCCTGTCTTATTCACCAGAGGTTTGCAGACCAACTGCAGACTTTCGACAGCATGACGCTTTCGGTTTTGTAACATCATTGTTGATTCCTTTTGACAATTCTTAATACATAAGAGGAACAGGATGGCAATTGCACCAGTGGGGATTACGTCCAGTCTGTCACCGCCCGTTGGCAGAAGAGGAAGACAAAGACCATGAGAGTTTCGGGAATGAGAAATACGTTATATTATTTAAGCGAGCGGAAGAACTATAATGAGAAAGAAAGATAAAAGTAAACCGTCAGAAAAGAAAGAGAGAACCACCAAAAAAAAAAGGAGTACAATAAAGAAATCTCTACACGCGTCTCAACACTAATCAAAGTTCCGTCAAGTCATAGACACATCAGGTGAATCTCGCTCACGAGTCCTCCGTGGCCTGTCCTCGTGAAGGCGGTTGTCTTCGCCTCGATGGCTGGAGGTCATAGCGCAGACTCGGCCGGGAGCTGTGCATGGCAGTCCCAGATGTCGGAGTCCGGCGAAGGTTCCGTCGACCAGACCGCTAGACTCAGCGTTCCGCTGACCGTGGCAGCTCTTGAGCGATCTGCAGGCCGACCGTCGCGGTCCGTGCTTCGCTTCCAATTCCCTGCTCGGTCGCGCGCTCCCCACCTCGTGCTCTTCCAAATCTTCGTCTTCGATCGCGGCCGCGGCGCAATCATTGTCATGAGGATCGTGACACAGTCACTATACCTGTACTAAAACTTGCTTGAGCACCTGTTTATTTATGATTATCTTTACACTTGCATCGTTACCTCCGAGGCGGGGTTTCCCTACCAGAAGAAAAATTTGACTGGGCCTTAGGTAAGGCCGAGTTCGACTCGCGCTGCTGATCCTGTTGTCCCGGTGCCTCTACAAGGGCGAGGACCTGGTCAATAGGAGCGTGACAGGTCAACCTTCCAGGCGTGACAAAGTATGGCGCCGTGGGAAGGAAGCCCATTACACCTGCCAAAGTGGATGCAATTGCAGGTGCGTGCCTTGCTGCATGTCCGCCTTCCCGGCTCTAAACTATGTAGCAATTGGCAGGTTCAGCATCGTGCATTATATAGGTTTTATAATAAAGACCATACGCGAAATAGCTCTTGGGTATCATCATCATGCCGCTCGGAGCCGACATGTGGTGGGTTTTGCTATCTTGAATGTGCAAATGCCACTATACCTCGTCTCGCCTCAGCATGAACTAACTGCGAAAGCTGTGCACGCGCAAGCGGGTTGCCTTGGCTGGAGGATGGAACCGCAGTATGTGTGCGTCCACAGGTTTCCAAAGTCAACGGCAGAAGCTTCTGAGGGTGTCCCAAGCATGCACTAGCACCTTCGGGAGGATACATGGGCACTGCTATATTGAAAGCACTTTCCAAGATTTAAGAAAATGAACACAGTTAGCATAAACTTGAGTCTTAAGGCCCGTTCACATTTTTGCAACCAAGTACGACCGAGAGAGACGAGATCTGTTAAAACTTCTGAAAAGTTCTTAGGACGAGGTAACACACTGGCATTCTAGCGGCATCTATGCGGTGACCCTGGAACTGCATTTTACAAGAGCGAAGGTTTCGCGGGATTTTCGAGGCCAAACGTGTGTAATACCTGTAAGAAAGGCTTGTTTATAACGTTGACAAAAGTCTTTTGAGCCCAGAAAGAAAGCATAATGCTCAAGAGAAATAGTAAATATGCCGGACCGCCAAGTCTACGCTGCTACCCAATAGATGGCGCCAGTGTGTCCTCTCGTTGTGAGAGGTTTTAAGGAACCCAGTTTTAAGAGGTCGCAAGAGTGTGAACGGGCCTTTAGAGAACCATGCAGTGAACGGAAAACTTAACAGTTCATGCGTTCTTGGCAATTCACCAGGTTGTCGTAGGCCTCTTCACGATGTACAATATGTGCATTACTTTGGTATTTGTTGATTTTTCTGGAAACAGGTGCCAGCAGGTACGGGCATAGACAATGGAATTATATTCGTGCATCTGTACAACTTGTTTTGTTATTTTATTTGAAAGCTTGCTATTTAGTTTTGAAAGAACTTCGTGGTTCCCATGGCGAAGTTGCAAACATTATATTGGTGTGCTGAAAACCAGTCCAAGGTCAGAACTAATGCCAAGGCATCTAAAAAAAATAATGTGACCAGAGACAATGTCAATTATTATGTTGGCAAGCTAGGCCTCGCAAATGTTAGCCAAATCGGGTCCACTAATATCCACCCATGTAGGAGGCTGTCTTTAGTGCCCATGCTTGTTTAATTAGACCTTGAACATGATTCCTTTTTACGTAAGACTTGCATTACGAATGTGTTTTCTAGTTAACGGTGGTGTTCCTTTTAACAAACCATTGTATTAGGTGGGTAGAAAATAAGAGTGAAGAAGTGAACTTTGGTCATTAATGGCAAGTAGGTTCATATGGAATTATTTTTGCTTCAGTAGAGGCTCAAGTATCCACGACACTGAAGGTACTTTCCTTTCAGTTGACGGAGACAAGGGTACCACAAGAGCCAGCGAGGGAAAGAGAACGGGACCTCTTAGTGTCAACGCCTTGCCACCTGCGTGGCTGTGCCCCGAACCGTGCAGTTTTGGCCGAGGTAAACAATCGGGCAATTTGAAAGTTTTGCGGATAAAAAAAAATATTACTCACTTGCATGCCTTGCTGTAAACAATCCAATGCAGTACTGAAATTTGTGAGTTGCGCACAATGTCACAGGTAGGATAGATAACCTCTACATTCTCAGAGTTCTGTAGACTAAGGGGCTGCCCGAAGATTACACAGCAGGATGGCGCCCCGCTACAGAGCTTCAGTATATGTCGCACCATAGCCTCCTTTATACTGACAAAACCTGGCAGATTGCCATGAGAAGCGGTCGCCGAAATGGGAAAGGTGAAGTGGTATACAACGGAGAAGAGTCTCAACCGCAGCGGACGCGAAACACGAAAAAAGTATGTTTTGGGTCCTCGCCACTGCAAAAGCTGTGTGCTGACGTCCAGGTTCCCCGAGGAATGGCTCTTTAATGCTCTGTGCTACCAAATCCTCACGCTCCAAATCTGTGACTAGGCACTCTATCACTCCGTCGTCGAACTGGCAGGCTTATTGAGTATAGAGGTGCTATGGTCATACTCTAATCCGCCTTACTCTTTTCTTTCCAGGGGGAGAGCATATTTCTGTTTGCAATCTTAAAGAAAGAGGGTTAGACTGTTATGATTAAATTGGGGCAGACAACAACTAACAGGATCCGTTTGCTGTCGTCAAGGCCTACGCTATTCTTATCAATGCCGATCTTCGCAAAAGAAAACAAGATAGGGGAAGGGACAAGAGCGGAGGAAAGCCGTGCCGTTTGCGTGGTCAACGTAACTACTCATGCTAAAGATAAATCACATGTCACTATGGTTATTTAAGATAAATCTGTTTGAAAGGGTGTCTTCGCTATGCCAATCTGTAAACATATTCTTTTTAATACTGGAGACCAAGTGAGATAAGTATCATCCGCTGTCTTCTCAACTGGTTATTTCAATATTATATTAGGAGTACTTGGCCATGACTTAAAACATACCAAAGACCAGATTCGGGCTCATGTTGGAAGGCGGTTCGTTCCTGCCAAACTTCAGAAACACTTATCTAAGCAAAGATGATAAACAATTTACTATTAGTTTTA